GAGCTGGTGGGGAGGGGTGGGAAGGGAGAAAATTGCGGCAATGAATGAATGGAAATCCAAAACCTCTGTAAAAAAAAATTATAAAAAAGAAAAACACGAAAAAAACCCCCCATATTGCGATGGGAAAGTCTGCTGTTAGGGACCTCTCCAGGGTACTGAAGAGCAGTGGTGTCACTCTGAAGACTAAACTGTGCCTGATACAGGCCATGGTCTTTGCAATAACTTGTTGCATCAGAGAGTTGGACAATGACTAGGGAGGATAGAAGGAGAATAGATGTGTTTGAGCTGTGGTGCTGGAGAAGAGTATTGAATGTACCATGCACTGCTAAGAAAATGAACAGGTTCATCCTGGAGAGGGCTAAACCAGGCTGCTCCTTGGAGGCAAGGATTCTGAGGCTTTTTCTGACATACTTTGGACATGTTCCAAGGCTGGTCCTTGGAGAGGGACGTCATGCTAGGGAAGGTGGAGGGACAACACAGGAGGGGAAGACCTTCTATGTGGTGAATTGATTCAGTGATTTGGGTAATTAGTGTAGGTGTGTCAGAGACAGTTAGATTGACACAGGACAGAGCAGGGTTTAGGGCTGTCGTACATAGCGTTGCTATGAGTCGCAAGTGACTTGATGCACATAACAACAACAATAAAATTTAATCTATACGCAAGATTGGAAGAAGATTCAGCAGCCTCCTTATGCAGATGATAAAATCCTGCTTCCTAAAAGTACTAGAAGATCAAAGATTAGAGCCTTTCATATGGATTGCATCTAATATCAAGAAAACAAAGGGCTGATAGGCAACCTCATGATAGATGGAGTAAAGATTGAAGCTGTCAGTAATTTCTTCTTACTTGAATTCATAATCAATATTCTTGGTACCAGTGGTCAAGAAATCAAAAGATGTGTTGCATTGGGAAAATGTTCTATCAAGGACGTCTCTAAAGTACTATGGAGCAGTGATGCCACTTTGAAGACCAAGGTGTATTTGATTCAGGCCATGGTCTTTAAAAACACTTGATATGCATCTGAGAGCTGGAAAATGAATAAAATGAATAAAAATGACAGAAGAAGAGGCAATTCCCTTGAGCTGTGGTATTGGAGAAAAGTACTGAATGTTCCATGGACAGCTTGTAGAAAGTGCAGCCGGAGTGCTCCTTAAAGACAAAATGATGAGATTTTGTTTTACATACTTGGAACATGCTGTTGGGAGAGATCCGTCCTTGGAAGGGAAAGATGGAGGGCCAGTGAAGGAGAGGAAGGCCTTCAGCAAAATGAATTGCTATAATGACTATCACAAAGGACTCAAGTGTGTCAGATCTGCTGGGGATGGAACAGGAGAGGACAGGGTGATATTCCTTGCTCCTAGGCTCTCTATGAGCTGTATTTGACTTAAAGGAAAATAATAGCAGCATGAGTTCAAATAGGATTTATTCTTCATTTTCTTAACTTGTTTAACTGGCTACTCTTTTAAAAAAATTTTTACTGGTTTACTTACAAAGTTGGTAAGCATTGTTTTGTTTTTCACACCAGATCTCTCCCTTTACTGAAAAGCAAGGATTTTTGTTTCTTTTTGACTTTGTGGAACCCACAGCAAGCTGGACAGATGCTGCATTTGAAGGTCTGTCTAGCTTTATGCTGGTGAATATTAAATTTCAATTAGAGAGTGATTCTGAGCACAGTTGATTTTGTTTTGTTTACTGGAATTACCTGAAGCAGAACTGGGAGTGTGATAACCCACCAGTGGTGGGTGAGTGGTATAAATGTCTAGCACTACCTCTAAATGCAGTGTTTCATTGATTGTGACTCGTGGTGATTCCCTATGACCGAGGACAGCCTCACAGAGTGTCCCAGGCAGCCACCTGGCTGGGAGCAGATAATTTGCCTACAGAGCTGCAGGCAGATTTGAACTGCTGACCTTTAATTAATAGCTAGGTGTTCACCCTTTGTCCTGTAGGGCCTCTTCCTCTCCAAGTAGAAATAGCCCTGAATCCCACAAAGTTGCCTCTGTGAATCCAGTGCTGTGTGCTTCCAGGGCTAACCCTGATGTGCCAGTGAAGATGGAGGAGAGGTGGGATAATGCCCCCTCCCCACTCTGCAATACTGATAGTGACTGCTGTTGACAGAACCATTGATCTCCGAAGGTCTTAAAGTGATAGCTGGCTCTCACGCCTGTGTGGTGGAGGCATCGCCCATTTGATTGTGCTTTTAACAAACCGAAGGTTTGTGGCAATCCTGCTTTAAGCACGTCTGTCAGTGCCACTTGTCCACCACCTGGTGCTCACTGGTGCTCACGCTCACTTGGGTGATGTTCATGGTATTTCAGGCATTTTCACGATGTTACCACATGTGTGCACTTGCCAAACCCAGCCTTGTGTCCACTGCTTTTGGGTCCATCCCAACTCCTGGGGACCCTTCAGTGGGTTCTGAGGCTGTGAATCCCCCTACCTGCCTGTGGATTTGAACCGCTGACCTTCCAGCTAGCAGCCCAACATATGGCACAGTTTGGCAAAGTTAGCCACCAGGGTCTGTAATGGATGGCATGTAGGGCAGAGACAGCTTCATGCACTGACCACCAGGGACTTCAGTGGGAGGGATACAGGGTAGATAAAACTCCATACACTGACCACCAGGGTCTGTAATGGATGGCGTGCAGGGCAGACGTGATTGTAGTGTGTGCCCACCTGGCTTCCTTGATACCATATTTGCATTGTCATGGTCATATCTCTGAAGTCTCCTGTGAAGGTGACACACAGACTTGATGCTGTTCTCTCTCCCTCTGCAGGAGAGAGCTATGTGTGTGGTTCCATTGAACCCTTCAAGAAGCTGGAGTATACTAACAATGTGAACCCCAACTGGTCCGTGAATGTCAAGACCACCTCTGCCTCGCGGGCAGTGTCCTCACTGGCCACCACCAAGGGCAGCCCCTCGGAGGTGAGGGAGAACAAAGATTTCATCCGGCCCAAGCTGGTCACCATCATCAGGAGTGGGGTGAAGCCACGCAAGGCCGTCCGGATCCTGTTGAACAAGAAGACGGCTCACTCCTTCGAGCAGGTCCTCACGGACATTACTGATGCCATCAAGCTGGACTCGGGGGTCGTGAAGCGTCTGTATACACTGGACGGAAAGCAGGTAAGCAGAGCCTGAGAGAGGCTGCGAGTGGAGGGCTTTCTGCATGTAATGGGTCGTGGGTGTGCTTCACCAGTGTGGCTGAGCGGATGGATGGGTCCCAGCCACCCACGAGTCAGCATTGTTGACCTAGGGGCACCCAGGGTCAGAACGAGGCATAAGATGAAGGGTGCATATACATCTGTAAAGCCAAGGCATTACCCGGAATTTCTGCTCTTTCACTTATCAGCCGAGCTTTGCAGTCCCACGAACACAGTAGCAGTAGTAAACCAGTAACAGGACTTGTGCGAAACTTATTTAATACAGGATTTTAAATCTGGGCCAATATTTCAGCTTACAGTGCCAGGATGTTCCAGGAAAGAAAACCTTTCAGATTCCTGTGTCCCTGCTGGCTGCTAAGGGTTGCATATTGCCATGGAAACAGGGCCAGGGCAGTGCTTGTAATGAATGGTGACAGGCAGCATCTTCTGGTTCTTCTGGTGGTTTACACAGGGTAGCTCCTCTGCTGAGCCTTTGAGGCTTCTGTTGTCAAAACTGTGTGGATAATTCCTTAAAACTTAGCAGCATGGAACCGAGGTGCTTTGATAGTTAATCTCCTGTACTGTTTTCAATACTGAGAAATAGCTTTTAAAACTAGCTTTCCTAAGACTCAATTTATAGACATTGCCTCGGGGAGAGAGTTTGGGGTGTTGTTTCTGCCTCTGTGGCATCTCAATGTCTCTGTTCCTAAGTGATGTGTTTTCGGGTCTGTCTGTGATCTTCGCTGGGATGTGGAGGTGGACATCTCAATTATTCCTGTAGAGGAAAAACCTCCATTTATTTGACCCAAATACTGTCTTAGTGCTTCATTTATCAAAGATATGTTCAGTGGTGAGAGTGACAACTTCAACAGATTAAAATACTTTTATCGTTACAAGAACATGGAAACAGCCCAATGTCCAACCACAACTGGATGAATTGGGAAATTATACATTGACATGGTGGAATACTATGCAGCACTCAGGAGCAATGATTTTAAAAAACACTACATAACTTGAGAGAGACTGGAAAGCATTATGCAGAGTGAAATAACTCAGTCTCTTAAGGACAAATACTGCATAAGACCATTATTGTAAAAATAGAACGATAACTAGTAAATCGTGTATGGTGACCCAAAGGAGAAGAGATGGGAGCACAGGGGTGAGGATGGGCAGAGGAGAAATCGCAGGGTTGCATGATTTGGTGGATGGAAGGAGCATTTAAGGAAATTGGAAAGATCCAGTGGGGACCTGAAAAGATGGGGTAATAGTGGACATAGATCAATGTTGATTAATTTATAAAACACAATATATGAGAATGAGTGTATAAAACATAATATAAATGAAAGGTGAAACAGTGAATGTGAATTTGGGGAGAAAAGGATATTTATAATGCATAAATCACTGATTATACTAAAAAATTAATATTTTAAAATTTTTATTTTATATTGGTTTGCTTACAATGCAATTTTCCCTTAGTAATTCAGTCACAAAAGTGATGTGCTTATTTGTTATATGCTGTCGTCACAGGTCAGGTTGAATGTGGCTCATGTACGGATTTGTTTCTTAGAATCTACTCTTTTTGATCTTATAGAGTTATATCTAAGACTTACAACACTATCTTTTTATTTTAAAAAATAGTATTGTGTTTTCAGTGAGGGAGGATGAGACAGAAGTTTAGTTTCTCACCCAACAATTTCTACACAAGTTGTTCAGGAATGTCAGTTACATCCTTTGTAATACGCCGGCATCCTCATTATTTCCATTCTGGTTGTTCTGTCCCCACTAATCTAGTTTCCCCTGACTCTTTAGAATCTCATTTTATTTTACTGCTGAGTTGGAACCAACCCACTGTTGACCCTCCAGTGAGTCTTCTGAGGTAGTGAATTTGACGGCCTAAACACTGGACCTTGGTGATGTTCCCCTGCTCTGTTTATTCAACAGTTTGAACAAGCAATACACATTATACTTCTACACGTGTGTCTGTCTTAGCTCTCTGTCATGTAACTCCTTTTTAAACGAGGCTGTAATATTAGTCATTGAATGTAAAGGTGCTATATGACCTTTAGCAGAAGGAGCTGACCTAGATTATTGAAGTCATACTGACTGCATCATAAGAGACTGACAGCAGCATGATACGTTCAGAATCACAGCAATCCTGATGGCTTGAGACTTAGGCCATTATATCAGGGGCTGATCAGTGGGAGATGGGTGTTGAGTGGTGCAGGCATAAGTAGGAAGGAATGGTGGTGGAGTAGGGAAAGGGTGGATCAAAAAACAAACAAACAAACAAGCAAACAAACAACAAGGTGTAGTGGGGGTGGGCAGCAACGTTGAATCTTTTGGTCATTTTTATTACTGGGAAAATGTCTTTCATCTGCTGTTTTCTGTGGACTGTTTGTCTATCAGATACTATTATATATATTTAAAAATTGAAACAGACTAGGAAGAAGGATTGGCCATCCACTTCCGAATGACAGGCCTTTGAAAACCCTATGTACAATAGAACACACTTAGACTATCGCTTGGACTAGCAGACATAGCAATTGAGACTTAGATCTTAGAAATGGAAATACAGAGAAGAAGGAACAGTTGTAAGCAGATCCTAGTGATTGGAATGTGGAATGTGAGAACCATGAATGGAGGAAAATTGGAATGCATAAATATTGACATATTAGGTATTGGCGAAATGAGATGGCTTGACATGGGACATTTTGAATCAGATGATCGTATGATTTACTATGCCAGGGATGAAAAGGTGAGAAAAAAAATGGGGTTGGCTTCATAATTAAAAAAGTCATTTGTAGATCCATCTTGAAGTACAGTGTGGTGAGCGACAGGATAATATCCATACACATACAAGGAAGTCCAGTGAATACTAGTATCATTCAAATATATGCACCAACAACTAGAGCCAAAGAAGAGGAAATAGAAGATTTCTGCCAGCTTTTGCAGTCAGAAATTAATCAAACATGCAATCAAGATGCATTGATAATAATGAGTGACTGGAATGCAAAAGTTGGGAACAGGGACGAAGGATCAGTAGCTGGAAAACACAGGCTCAGTGAGAGAAATGAGGCTGGAGATAGAATGATAGAGTTCTACACATTCAATGATTTATTCATTGCAAATACCTTTTATAAGAAACATAAATGCAGGCTATACACCTGATGGTATGCTTAGGAATCAAATCAATTACATTTGTGGAAAGACAAGCTGGAGAAGCTCAGTATCAGCTGTGAAAACCAGGCCGGTTGCTGATTGTGGGACAGACCACCAACTACTCATATGCAAGTTTAAGCTGAAGCTGAGGAAAATGAAATCAAGTCCACAGGAACCAAAATTTGACCTTAAGTCTGTCCCACTCGAATTTCAAAACCGTCTCAGGAACAGGTTTGAGGCCTTGAGCACCAATGAGCATAGACCAAATGAGTTCTGGGAGGTTATCAAGAAAATCATCCATGAAGAATGCAAAAGATCATTACAAAGGCTGAAGAAGAAGAAGAAAAGACCAAGACGGATGTCAGATGAGACTCTGAGTATTGCATTAGAGCGCTGAGAAGCCAAAGCTAAAGGAAGAAACCAAGAAATCAAAGAGCTGAACAGAAAATTTCAAAAGGCAGCCCGGGACAACAGAGCAAGATACTATAATGAAATGTGTGGAGAGCTGGAGTCAGAAAATCAAAAGGGCCGAACTCACTCAGCATTTCTTAAGCTGAAGGAGCTGAAAAACAAATTGAAGCCACAGGTGGCAATACTTAAGGATACTTTGGGTAGAATGTTAAATGATACAGGAAGTATTAAAAGAAGATGGGAGGAGTACACAGAGTCACTGTATGAAAAGGAATCGGCTGACACAGAAGAATTTAATGAAATAATATATGAGGAAGAGCCTATGGTAATGAAGGAGGAAGTTCAAGTTGCTCTGAGGGAATTGGCAAAAAACAAGGCTCCAGGAGTTGACAACATATCAACATATTTCAACAGATGGTACCCTGGATGTGCTCACTAAGTTGTGCCAAGAAATCTGGAGGACAGCCAGCTGGCTGACTGACTGGAAAAGATCGATATTTGTTCCCATTCCAAAGAAAGGTCACCCAACTGAATGTGGAAATTATCGAACAATATCATTAATATCACATGCAGGCAAGATTCTGCTGAAAGTTATCTAAAAATGTTTGGAAAAATATGTCAGCAGAGAACTGCCAGGTGTGCAGGCTGGATTTAGAAGAGGTCATGGTACTAGGGATATTATAGCTAATGTTAGATGGATCTTGGCAGAAAGTAAAGAATACCAGAAGAATGTCTATCTGTGCTTCATTGACTATGCAAAGGGTTTTGACTGTGTGGATCACAGCAAGCTATGGCTGACTCTAAGAAGAATGGGAATCCCAGAACATTCGATTGTGCTAATGCGAAACCTATACTTGGAACAAGAGGCAGTCATCAGAACAGAGCAAGGAGACACTACATGGTTCAAAATCAAGAAGAGGTCCATCAGGGATGTATTTTGTCTCTATACCTTTTCAATCTGTATGCAGAATAGATCATCGGAGATGCTGGGCTGCATGAGGAGGAATGTGGCATCAGGACTGGTGGAAGAGTCATCAAAAATCTTTGTTATGCAGATGACACAACCCTGCTTGCTGAAACTGGGGAGGATCTGAAGTGCTTGCTGCAGAAGGTCAAGGACTGCAGTCTTCAATATGGATTGAAGCTCAACATCAAGAAAACAAAGATTCTCACCATTGGGCTGATTGGCAGCATCAGTATGGATGGTGAAGAGATTGAGATAGTTAACAGTTTTAGTTTACTCGGTTCCACAGTCAACACTCTTGGTAACAGCAGCCAGGAAATCAAGAGAAAAATTACATTGGGAGTCAGCTGTGAGGGACCTCTCAAGATTACTGAAGTGCAACAACATCAGGCTGGAGACTAAGGTGCACCTGATCCAGGCTATAGTCTTCACAGTTACATCAGAGAGTT